GCAAATTATTAAGCTCATGAAATTAATTGTAACTAATGCAACTATCCACGTCTCGGACGACTTTTATTCTTTGTGGAGAAAATCATTTTAGAGAAATACCATTCAATTCTGATGTTTATTCTCTTAAGAATGCTGGTTACTTTCAGAAGTGTTTGTCTCAGAAATGTGGCTGCCACAAGTATATTCACTAGAATTAGCTATTTAACTTCACCCTCTTCTAATAACCCATTTGGAATCACTAAAGTTTCCGCACAATCAGCTTGTAGAGACATTAGGTATTTTTGGAAGCAGGCAAGATGAAAATGAGCAATCGCCTTCGCCGGGATTCGAACCATGGACCTCTGGAATACCGGCTCAGCGTGCAGAACCACTACACCACGAAAGCACGCTAGGAAGGCGGGAGAAATAGCTTATATACTTCCCCTTTTAAAAGACGACTGGGTTTATTTTAGGGGACCCAATCGCCAAATCCTGGGTGTGGAGAATCCTCATCCAACACACTTTTTAGTTCGGGTGCCACTGAAGAGACATTAGGTATTTTTTGGAAGCAGGCAAGATGAAAAATGAGCAGTCGCCTTCGCCGGGAATCGAACCACTGACCTCTGGAATACCCGCCCAGCGTGCAGAACCACTACACCACGAAGGCACGCTAGAGAGACCTTTTAAGCTTATCGAGTATATCCTTCGGCACTTTGCATGGAGCTGTAGAGAAGAAAGAGATGTAACGCTTAAAAACTGTGTACTATTAGCTAATAGGTCAAAGACTTTATTATATAATTTTCATGTTTCTTCTCTACAAATCTGAGAAATTGAAATATTTTCGCCTTTTGTTCTTAACTCAAAAAATTTGGTTTGGATTAAAGATTTAGCTGCATCAAAGTGACAAAAATGAGGTTTTTCATCTGTAAGGGCCTTATCAACTGCGCCCTTCCAGTGTTTATTTCTTCACTTACGCAAATTCCAATCAATTATATTTTCTTATCTCTATGCCGAAATTGTTATTTATAAGCTTATGAAGAACTAACAAATTTTCACTTTTATTCTCAATAATATCTAAACCACCCATATCTGTTAAGCTAAGAAATTAAAATAATGTTTGCAGCTAGTATTGTAACAAAATCACAAATACTAGAATGAAATTAAAAAGAGCCTAAATTTGAACAAGTATTCAACCTAACACTATCAAAATGAAGATCGAATTTAGTACGAAGTTCTTTCGAACTTAGCACTGTTTAATGATTTACCGTAACTTCCTCAACCAAAATTTCATGGGGAAGAGAGCACAGCCTACACTCTCTAGATTCGCTCAAATAAAGAAGGTTTTGGAAAGTGTGCGAAGACTAATTCATCTACTATCCACACCCTGACATGCTGGGCAACAACGGCTCACCGCCAGTGTTTGTTAGTGAACAGTTGCTGCACAGCTGAGGTTTATAATTTGAAATTACTTAATTAGGTCATATCTTTTTTCACCGAGACTCGACGAGCGGTTTTAATGGGATATTTTTGGAGAAGGTCTTGCCGGAAATGCTGCATGATGGCCTGGTAGCTATTCACCCCATGGAGGTAGGAAGTAAGCAGTTCTTTTTTTACCTCTATGATTCACCCCAACTATAGTTTCAGCACTCTTGCACATCAGCAGGAGTGTCTAAACCATGGAGGTCTTACTTCCTACCTCCATGGTCTAAACAGAGTATTTCTAGGAAGATGGCTTGTGGGGGGGGGATTCGTCTCTTGGCCTCCAGTATTAGCGGATATATCCCCAATTGATTTCTTGCTTTGGGGTTAATTACAGAGAGTGAAAGTACCTCTGGTGTTGTCTACAGGTCTTCCTCTAGGAGATTTCCCTTGAATTCCATTCTGACCCCGTCGCAAGAGTCACTGAGACTGCTGCATGAAATCCGCGATAGTTCTCAGATTGTTTTCGTGCATTCGTCGATTAATCAGTGTTGTGAGGTGTGCGTTTATTATACACATTTCTGTGATGTACATGTGCTGTGATATTGTAAACGGTTTAATGGCACTTGCGCGTAAATCATTCACTGCTGGATACGTAATAGTAATTTGTATAGTTTTCTGCCATCTCCTTTCCCTACAAATCACCATCAGCATCTTAATAACTTTTAATTATATTTATAAATTTAGTGCTTTTTTGTTTGGCTGACATTTTAATCACATAAGACATGAAATTTAAAATTAAAAAACGAAAGAACTCAGGTCCATATAGATTGAATTGTCAGCTAAACGCTATTGTTTGCAATAATGTCAAAAACAGAAATGTATCTTGAGCTACATGAACATTGATAATTTGTTATCATCGTTGATAGTTTGTTTCATTGCCTGTGGAAACAGGCAAGAAAAAAAAAAAAAAAAAAACAGTTTGAGAGGAGATGAAATATTTAAAGATAGTTATAATATAATCCTAATAATATCTATCTGTTAAATCAATGCACCATCAATAAATGATTAAGAACTGTTTACCATAAAAATACCTCTGAAAACTTATTAAGGACTGGGAATGTAATTCTTTGATTTGTGTCGAACATAAAATAGAAAATTAGACATTTTCATGTTCGCCTTAACACATACCTGATGGTGTCAATTGGGGAAGAGAGTGACCGTTTTCTCAGTGTTTATTTACATTCTTAGAAATACCTGCTACTTTCAAAAGTAATCACCAGAAGAGGATTCACTGTTCGTAGTTGAAAATGTGCCAATTGCTTCTTTCTTTCATTAATATTTTTTTACATTGGCTATTAGAAAATCCCATTGTACATACGTGACGAGCTTAACATTTCTTTTTGACAAGTTAATTGAGACTAGGCCTGTCTAGACTGCAACCTTGAGAGTCCGCTGGTGTGGCTCCCGTCATATAACTGAAGTATGAACCAAAGGATGAGCACATCATAGATGACGATGGATTTGAAAATGAGAACTGGTTGAATCATTTTCGGTTAGTGTGACTACTTACTTAAGTAATGCGTCCTTAAGACCAAAAATAATTAGTAAATAATATTTCGGAGAATAACAGCGTTCAAAATTAAACTTAAATTGTCGTAATTTCGCCTTAATAACAGCAATTTAATTCACTCTGGAACTCTATCTAGGTAAGGTTACATAAACAGCAAAAATCATGCAGCACTTCATTGATTTAGAATATATTTAAGGAGGTAGAGAAATTATTGTCTCTTGAACGATGGATGGAGATGGATATCTGTCAAATATTTCCTGAAAATGAATAAATGTACTCAGAGAGAACAGATTTCAAGAAACACTAGCTATATTTTGTTACATTTGTTCCTCCGTTGTTAGTTAAGATCAATTTAACTGCGAATGAATAACATCGAGTAAAAATTAAATGTACAGTGCAAAGACAATGTATTTAATTGAAATTTTGTAAATTTTTCTATCTGAAGAAAAATATCTGTGGATATATTTTCGAAGATTTGCGAAGTATTTCAGTGCTTCTCAAATAATCGCTTTCCGTGGTGCCATTTTTTAAATTACATAAAAAAATGTCTGCATAATTTACGAGCAACTTTCTTCCCGTGAATCACACAAAAGTAAAATAGGAACGAGTTCCGGATGAACAAATTCCGGAAAGTCTTGAATATGCTACTGGAAATCATTACTGCATCTATCAAATTAGAGGTCAGTAAGCTAGTATTTAAAAACCAGCCTTTGTATTTCACATTGAAAAAGGATATTTTTATATTTTTTCGCATTTTTTTTTCTTTTTTTTGGATTAAACAGTAAAAGAAATTTTATCATCCGCTGTAGGTTATATTGGGGTCATCATTAAACACTACTTCTCTGTGCGGCCACTGGCTCGTATCTGTCCAACAGTGCAGCCCTCTGCATTTTTTTTTTTTTTTTTTTTTTTTTTTTTTTTTTTTTTTTTTTGCCCATGCAGAGCAGAAATTCCGAAAGGTTACACACCACTAGTCCAGAAAATAAGATACCGAAAATTCAAGTCTCATTTACCTACTCTCACGCTCTTTGTCTACATTTCTCTGCTCTTTCATTTAGCAAATGACTGTTTTTTCTTCCTAGCTTACTATTAGTTTTTGCAGGCGTTTACGTGTTTACGGGTCATGCTGAATGACTGCATTCGAAATTTGCGCAAGGGGGACATTATTTTTGCATCAATAAAAGAGGATGTAAGACAGACAGCGAAGAAAATAAGATTAGATGATGGTGAATTAAGTGATAAATTAGCCTTATAAGAGTAGAGGTAAAAACAAGTCTCACCGGAAGTTTCAGAAGAGCTAGGTGAAAAATTACCACAAAAACATTAAAAAAAGAAAATTAAGCCAACTTTACATTCTTCTAGATCATCTTTGGCCATTGCACCGATTCGTTAATAAAACGCTAATGTAAATCATAGAGAGCACCATTTCCTGTTATTAATAACTGCAAAACTTTATATAACAATGTACACAAATAAAAATCACAGACAGACCGTTATGAAAAGAAATAAAACATTCATGCAGTGAGATTGTAACTTTTCAGTATAATGAGAAAATCTAAACAGGTATCTAGTCCATCGTTTTTAAAGTAACACTTTTTGCTATTTCTTTAAATGTTTTGAATATTAAAGTTTTCGTTACGTAAATTTCAGAAAAAAAAAAAAAAAAAAAACCTAATTTTCAAACATTTTACATTAACTACCTGAAACTTTGAAAAGGAATCTCATATATTTGCCTGATATTTTTATGTCAATTTATGTCGAAAATATCAGGAATCTAACATTCATGAAAATCAAATGTCTTGTTAATCTAAGCTTCTCTTTCTCGCAGACTAAAATATTTTTAGTTAGCCGCAGCAAGCGAATTACGACATTAATTTCTGGTTTTTATTCATAATATGTATTTAGTTTTCTTTTATTTCTTTCTTTGTGTCTCTAATAAATTATAGTAGAAGTTATACTTATTTAACATCAATATAACTGCGTTTCTCACTTTTTTAGATACATGAAAGAAAAAGAATCTACTGCTTACCATCTTTTGTTACATGCTTGCAAGACACCTGTAAATAAAATATAATTACTTAATTTACATCAAAATACAATATTTTAATAATTTATGTTATAAATTACACAAAACTCATGCAACCGTGGAAAAAAATTCACTATGAGTATCTTGAAAAATGTTTTGCAGTTGTTGTTTTTCCCTCTTAAAAATTTAGAACCAGTTGTTGCTTTTCGCACTTATAAAAACTTAAACTTACAAATCTCGCACAGTTCAGGGTAATCTCAATAAAATATTAATTTATTAGAAAATATTTGTGCATAACATCCGTTATTTACTAGTTCGTTTATGCAATGATTGTTAAGGCAAAAATTCTTTAGTGTAAAATTTCTTAATGGAAAATTCATTTATGTTATGTAAAGTTTTTAATTATCTACATTTTTTTAGTATCTTTATCCAAAGCTTTTTATTTACTTAGAAACTCTTTTATTAAAATTTTATTTATGTGAAGTACGTTAATGTAATGTAAAATTACTCTATGCAACGTTCCTTCAGCCAAAGTTTATTTACTAAACTTTCCTTAACATAAAATCGCTTAAGGCAAACACTTGGTTAACATAAACAAAATTTTAGTCCCAGCAGCGATGTACATGATATACGATGTACATAGGAAGTTTTATCGGCTAACGCGAATTTCGGTTAGCACGAATTACGAACTGTTTTTAAGTCTGTTACTGTCTTGCGACAAGCTAACTACTTGTCCACCATCATGCACCCCGGACCCCACGGTCAAGAAAGCAGATATCAAGGCACTGCAGGCCCTGACTTACTAAGGGTTGTTGCGCCACTTAGTTTTAGGTTAAGAAAAATTGCCAAAAATACGATTCTTACTCTACAAGGAGATTTTGACTACAATTAAAAATTCACTGACTGGATCACTGCTGTTATATTTTGCCGCTGTATGGAGCAAATAATTATAATTTCATGATATGACAGACATTTTTTCCGAACAGTTAATAATCCTTCTGGCAATGCATCACTTCAAGCAAGCTTCTCTTACTTCGATAACTTTCTTAACTAACTGAAAATATCTGCTTATGATTACAAATTCAAATTACAGCGAAATACATATTAAGATATATACTACAACTTGGCGCAATATCTTAATTCGCAAATTTTGGATAGTAAAATCTAGCAATAAACAGTACAAACACAGAAAACTCTGAGTTGAAAAATAAGGCTTCCTAAATTATTATATGTTCCTCTAACCATGTAATTAAACTTCCAGTTGAAACAATAAAATATATTATGACTTCGAAAAGTCAAAAATAGGTTTAAGCTTTAAAAATTATTTCATTCGCAAATTTCGGTTACCAATATCACGGAGCAAATGGTATCGATACAAAAGGTTCTAAGCTGAGAAATTAGGCTACAGACATCAGAATATATTTTTCAGTGCCACATGAGAACGATTTTATAAAAGTGAGTGCGTCGCATCCTATACAGAAATTTTATTTGCAGAAAATACTTTTTTGAGAAAAAAATAATTAGCCATAATGATTTAATAAACAATGTCATAGTACCAAGACTTTTGACATCTCTAGGACGTAAAATTTGGATACAAAATTTTTGAACCTTATTTTTCCACCAAAACCAGAGATTCATAATTTATCGTGTTGAGACATTCGAGTTTCAACAGTTTATTGGATTTCATATTCCTTTGATTACGGCAAAGCATGCAAAAACTGCTTGTCTAACGGCTTGGATACCTTCGTAGAGAACGTTTTAAGAGAAACTGGCTCAAATATTCATATTACATGTGGGGGAAATCAAGATAACGCCCATGCAGTCAGTTCGTTCGCCAAAAGTTAAATTCGAGTCGAACTACCAGTGATCAGCGATCTTATGCATTTTGCCAATGGATGGGCTTTGATACGTCTAAGGTCAGGAGACAAACAAAGTTAAGCTTTTCTCAACGCTGATGTCACTTACTTGCAGAAGTGGGAGAAACGGAGACACAAAGGGAGTAGGGAGAAGTAACTTTTGAGCCTTTTTTTTTTTTTTTTTTTTTAGAAGTTAGTGCCATCACACAAGAGCAAACCTTATGTAGTAACACTGAAAACTTCTATCTTAATTTTTTTCTCGGGAATATTTCTCCAGCAAACATCTGCCTGGCTTGTACAAATTTCTTTGTGTATTTCCATATGGATTATGGAAAGTATCGCGTCTAGAGTTCTGCATCGCGTATGAGGCTTAAAGCGAATATTTGCAGTGCCCGAAGTACTTGAGCAGCAGTTTCACTGATACTGTAAGGTGCGCCGTATTGCTCACAACTACAGTGTAGTGAACTCTCAAGTGCAGGGGTTCTTAACAGTGGGGGGCGAGGGGATTTCATAGCTTCAGGGGGGAATGAGGTGAGGCTTTTATTTACCTGTTAAGTAATTAGTTTTAGTTTTGGAATAAAAAAAACCCTTTGGTTCAAGTTTTGATATTTATCAACATTTTCTATACCTTTTTCTTGTTTAATTTATAAAACGCATAAAAAATACTCTAATTTAAATAAATGTTATATATAGCTTTCGAATTTTTGAATGTTATATGTAGCTTTCGAATTTTTGAATGTTATATATAGCTTTCGAATTTTTGAAAGGATTTTTGAAATGATAAGCTAGCAATGCTAAAAAAGGTGCATAGGTGAAAAACGTTGAGAACCTTTGGTCTAGTGCATATGATCAAAATTCCCTGTTCGCTTCGTCTCCTACAGAGTAGAGAAGTTAAACAAGTCAACCTTCTATTTGACGAGACATTTATGCTCCTTTGCCGTCTAAACAAGACAATTTAGAAGAAACGGTTTTCAATACTGTCCCAACTTTCTAGTATGAATTGGGGTATAAGTATATTGCTTTATTAAAAAGAACAATTTAAGATAGATTCGAAACAATATATTCCGCTTCTGGTTTGCTACAGAATGGCTCATGCTATGCTTCTCTTTTCACCGGTACCTGTTCGACTTTCAGTTAGGGATCAGATATTAACGAGCGTCATACCATCCACGGGCTGCAGTAATGAAATTATTCTTTCAATTCCAGCCCAAAAAAGAAAATATAGACATTCAAACTTATTCATAATATTTCTTTATAAAGTGTACGCGTGTACAACTACTTAAAACACAATTTTATTTAAAATGCGAAGAATTAATATGTGTGGAAAATTATCAAAATTTTTAATACTTGCTATGCTAACTTAAATAGGAACGAAAAATAATGTAATTCAGAGTTATATTTCGATTTTGAAATTAAAAATATTTCTTAATTTTAATGTTAAAATGATATCCGAAACTTTCGGTGGATTTTTCTTGTTAAATACAAACAATTACTAATTTTGATGCTCTTCTTTCGCTTAAAGAGCATATTTTGAATAATGGTTTTTAAAAAGTTAAACGCATTCCTTAAAGCTTACTTATTCGGTAATTACAATTCTTCTTAAGACGAAAAAGCTATTGTTCGTTTGTAATCCAAAAATATTCATTCCGAACAACATTAAATTATAACTGAATTCTTTTTAATTTAAAACAATATGTGAAGTAATCAAAACATCATTTTATATTTTCGTTTGCTTGAAAATTAGATAACATATTGGTAGATCGGAAATACCCAATGGTTTTCATAGCATTTTAATTCTAAAAAAAATTAAGTTTGTATTAGTTTAAAGATAATTTTTATATTTATTTTATTTAGGAAAATCTTGTATACTTGTAAAAGGAATACTTTCAAGTATTAAACAGTTTACGTACCTGGATAACTACCAAAAATAGGCAAAACACAATCGCTAACTTGAGCATAGTTTACGTTGAATGAACTTCTTCCTTCTGGAAGGTTAGATCATATGATGACAAGTCTCGAAGTTTATATCATATGATTCGAAGTATTCGTTATGAAGAGATGAGTATCATTCTCATATGTAATCTCCTTCTTTATCATTCATTTCTTTGAGAGTTTAGCAAAAGATTGCTCCATTTCTTTTGTCTGAAATCCTTTCGTAAGATCAAGACGTTGTTGACAAAACTCTTATTTTAAGAGGCAGATAAGGTTTTTTCTTAAACCCTGATCCCGAAACAAGTAAATAAATTTATAGAAAAATACTTTTATCTTATAGAATAATGAGGAGTTTTCTTTGTAGATGTAAATGTCTTGCTTCTAAAAATGTATTGTTTGATTACAGTGAAGTATTTGGTTTACTTAAGTAGAACCAACCATTTGGTTTAGTTAAGTAAAAAGATGTATATAAGAAAATATATATCCTACTGAAAATTTGTTAGTGTGAGAATTCATTATATAAGTATAAAATTTTATGCTTCAGAAAAGTAATTTAATATTTATTACATTAGCTGCAAGGTAGAATGAGTTATTCAGTTTTTAATTAAAATTATTTAATGTCTCTGAGGTATAAAAAGCATTTAAAAAGTGAAGAAAAAATTTAATTTAATGCATTCACACTCAGATGTAATCCAATCACATTGAATCAGGAATTAAATTTTTAAAACCAGATTTCCATTCTCTGAACCTACCCTTATTTTTTAACTCAGCTAACAGGGCCATAATCTATGACTTAAAATTAAACTTGCAGACTTATGTATTTTCATGACTCAATCAGGACTCGAACCTGAAAGTGGTTAAACAGAATGCTCAAGTAACTGGAAATTTGACAGTTTAAATTTCGATACTCACAAGAATTAGAAAAATCATCAACGCTGTTACACTGCCTAATGACTTTAGGCGGGTACCCGATCATTGCGAATGCTTTTCGCCTCAACCGGAGATTTAACATACAATTTTTGAAGTTGCCTAGTAGTAAAGTATAGTCTACTGAAAATTGATTGCTCAGAATCCATTGTATAAGTGTAAAATTTTATGCGTCGAAATATAATTTTAATATTTGTTACATTATCCGCAAGGTAGAATCATTTATTGAATTGTTAACGTTGTGAGTATTAGACATACTTTTGTTGATTTTAACGTTCAAAATTCTCATCAAATCTGTCCGTTATCGACATGACACTCAGATGTAATCGGCAGGAAAGTACGATGAATGATGAACGAAATCCTTTCGAAATAGATTTAATCTTTACTATTACTAAAATGTAGGATAGATTTAATATATTTGGAAACTCAGATCAACTAAGTCAGAGTTTAACAGAAATGTCCTGGTAATCGAGTCCTGATTGAAGCTTGAAAATATGTAGTTTTACAGTTAAATTTTTAAGCCATAAGTCATGATGTTATTAATTGAATTACAAGATAATAGCAGGTCCAGAAATTAATCCGAACATATCTAACTAATTTTGCAGCATGTAATTTGATACTAATTTTGTTGCAACAAGTAATTTGGTTAACTGAAATCAGGCAGGGTTCATTTATATTTAAGATCTCATATCTGTTAAAATAAGGTTAGCGCAAAGGCACATACGGTACAATGATCATTACAAAGTACAAAAACCTAGCTTTGCTATTAAAAGATTGTGGGATAAAATTCCCATCCCCCATCATCTAGAAGTGATGGAAGGGCTTTGGTTTTTTTCGTTCATTTAATTACGGCAAAGCACACAAAGGCTATCTGCCTAAAGGGAGGCATGCCTTAGTGAAGGACTTTCCAAGGGAAGCTGACTTGTGCCTACGTTATATATGGGAAAAACCACAAAAACACCCATGTAGCTAGCCCGTTCGCCGGAATTCGAATTTCGTATCGAACTACTAATGTTCAGCGACTTTACCGCTCAGACGCTGGTAGGCCATGAAGAGAGTGAAAGGTCATAATTCTAATCTTACTGTTACTTAACGATAAAGCCTATTTCTAATCTTTTTCTCTTTGGCAGGCGGTGTTTGTTGTATTTAATCATGGCAAAGCACACTAGGGCTATCTGCCTAAGTAAGGGAAGGGATGCCTTCGTGGAGGACTTTCTAAGGAAAACTGGCTCGTATACACGTTACACATGGGGAAACCACTAAAACACCCATGCAGCCAGCCCGTTCGTGGGATTCGAACATCGGACCGAACTACCAGTGTTCAGCGACTTTACCGCTCGGCCGCTGGTGGGCTTTCTCTTTGGCAGGCAAATTCTGACACTTAGAAGAACAAAATACGCCTATAGATTGCCTTTAAGAGGAACTTTACATAGAATTTCCATGTTAAACAAGTTAGCGGAAAATCTTATAGAATCATCATTAAATTTAAATCAATACTTGATAAGGACTCCGCGTAAAATCTCCTCAGTACAAAGAACATTTTTATCCTCATTAGCGGCCCATCTTCCCATACGTTTCTCCTGTCTGAACAAGCGCTTCCAAAAAAGTGGTACACTCACTTCCAAAAGTTAAGCACGGAGAGGAAAATGCTAATTTCCGGAAGTCAATCAGAATTGAAAAGGATGCAATTCACTGCAGAGGTCGATGGAAGTATGCAAATATGTTAGGTAACAGCCAATCGCGCTTTCATGTCAAGAAATATGCAAAAAAGGCAGTATTATAAGAAGCCGCTTTATGAAGGGTTACAGAAGTTGATTGTAAGTGCTGATAGAAGGTGTTTAAAACTTTCGTACAATTTGTTTTTAAGACGTACGTGTTTCAATGACTCCAGAAGACGAATGGAAGATTCTGAGCACTGGCGTGCTGTGAAGCGCATTGAAGCAGGACAGTCGATCGCAGATGTTGCTCTTTTCTTCGGCGTTCATCATTCTGTAATTTCACGTTTATGGAAACACTTCCAAACCCCACAGACAGTTGTCTGAAGGCCCGTAGCCGGTCGCCCAAGGGTTACAACCCCCACGGAAGATCGATATATTGCTATTGTAGCCAAGCGGAATCGCAGAGCGATCTCCACACGTGTGACATCTATGGTTACAGCGTCTTGGTCACGCGATATCTGCAGCTACTGTACGCCGAAGATTACATATGAGTGGACGGTACGTCCGGGTACCTCGAGTTTGTGTTCCTCTATTCGTCCAATCAAGAGGGGCAGATTACAGTGGTGCCGGGAACATGTCAATTGGAATGTGTCTAACTGGGGCAATGTCATGTTTACTGATGAGTCAAGATTTGCTCTGGAGCCAGATGACAAGCGTATAAGGATATGGCGTAAACAACGAACATGCAATCAGTCCCAAAACATCACGCATTCCGAGGCGGAAGCATTATGGTGTGGGCAGGGATTTCATTAGGATACCGCATCGACCTGCACATCTTTAAACGGGGTTCTTTGACGGCTGTCCGGTATCGAGATGAAGTCCTAGAACCCATTGTGAGATTGTACGCTGTATCGGAAGAGATCTTCTTGATATTAAACTTTTTATTTTCTTTACCAACTGAAAAATATTCATATCAATTGGCCCTAGTTTTGTTTTAATGGACGATAACGCACGTCCCCATAGAGCTGACATCGTCGATGACTACCTGGAGAGTGAAGGGATTGTGCGTATGGCGTGGCCAGCATATTCGCCCGACCTTAATCCCATTGAAAATCTTTGGGATGCTCTCGGCCGTGCTGTAGCTTCACGTTTCCCACCTCCAGCCACTCTTATTGAGCTGGAAACTGCTCTACAAGAAGAATGGCGATTGCTTAATTCTGCGGTGGTTGACCACCTAATTGAAAGCATGGTCACAAGGTGTAAACTTTGTATACAGATGAGGAGGGGATCACATACCTTATTAATGTCCTTTTTTTCTCATTTTATGCTGTTTATTTCCACTTTATACATAATTCTGTTTAAGTCTCCAGTATGTCATTATTTGATAACTTACAAAGATTTAATAGTGTTTTCATTTCTGTATATAGTTATTGATTTCGTTTTATGCATAAATATATATGCTACTTTCCTGCCGAATTTTGTGTCAATCAAAGCAGTATTTGTTGATTTTTTTTGCATTTTACATCTTCGTGCTTAACTTTTGGAAGTGAGTGTATTAAAAATTGCACACTCTTCAAGACCAGATTTTTCACTCTTATTGTGAAGCACTTTATTTCATTAGAAAAAGGACCTAAAATTAGAAAACATCGGGAAACAATAACCAGAAAACATTAAAAACTGAAAATGCTGAGATTGATTTTAACTGTACTAATAATAAATTTTTCTCTAAGGTCAAGGACTACAACACTGTCAGTTTTTCAAAAAATATATGTATAAGATTCTGACGGATGTCAGTCACCTCCGACTATATGCAGCGTATCTCTTCAAGAATAATGGCTTCCATACTATAACCAACGACTCCATATACCAGTATATATCTCGTTGATTGTAACCGTTAATCCAGTGAAACTACCGTTATTTCCATTTCCATTTATTTTCTCACATATTTTGGATTTTATCATTAACTTGGGATTTCACTTATTTTAGATTTTATCTTCTGCAAGCTCAAATCAAGTTTTTCAGAAATGATGTATATCTTCCCTCCCCCTTACTGTTACGCTAGCCAATTTTTAAATTCGACTACCAAAGTTATCATCTTGCAACATCAGTCTCATCTATGGAAGTCAAATTTTAGGTGAATGCGCTGTTCAAGCGTTATTCATATATCATATAGACGAATATTTATTGTTAAAAAGAAAATATTTTCATTTTTGTTATTGCCTCTGCCTAGTTAATTACTTATCCTAGCATGTCTGAAAAATTCTAGTTACCATGTTTTAGAATTAGGTTACAATGTTTTAGAAGTTTATTATTTTTCATTCTTTTCTCAAAATGTTTTCTGAATATTGTTTTGACACGAATCAGTTTCTCTGCATTCAGAGATGACTGGCAAAGTACCCTATGTATAATTACTACTTTCATTCAACCAGCTTAGTTCTTTAAAAATCTATATTATTTTCATTTAAATGGAAAGATTACATCATAGTAAGACGACATAATACCGTCTAGAAGTTTATATAATA